TTTATAATAAAATTAAAGGGATTGTGAAACTACGATTTCGAAAGGGTTACTTCGTTACATTGGTCTTTTTCTTGTTTTATTTTACGGTTAATTAACACTTGCCGGTTTACTAGGAAATTCGTGTTTTAGATTTCATTTCATGAGTTAGAATTCACGTAACAGAGAGACCGTGTATCATGAAAGGATAATAAATGTGCTTTGGTGATTATAAAAGTGGTCCAAGTCAAAAATCCTCCAAAAAAATTGAATTTGTTACTTATTCTGTGTTGCGTCGATTTTTTTTTCACAGAAAAGAATTGTATTTATAATAAGAAAATACTTTTTAATACACCCAAAGGGAAAATTTTAAATATCTCATAGGACTTGGGCTACTTTCGTAATTATCGGCACAAATAAGTGTTCCTTAAATTTAGAAGGATTTGTTTTTGCTCTTAGAATTGTAACTTAGTTTCATTTTTATTGCAATCGCTCTTGAACTTGAAAACAAAAATTTAACATAAATTTCGGAATGCCGTGTCTAATTTTGAAAAGATCAGTTGTAATCAAATTACAAGTAGTACCTATACTTATGAAATTATTTTAGTGCTTATCCTTTTTACTTATCTCTGTACGCGTAATTTATTCTACGAAGAAGCCTTTAGTGTTACAAAACGAACACAACTGTTTCAAGAACTGAAATAAAATTATGCAATGTGATAGCTTAGCGAATTATGGAAATATTTCTAAGTTTAAATATTTTCATGAAATTTATGTCAGTAGAAAGTCTAATTACCTTCATGAAAAAATATTCCATTTATCCTAAAAAAAATATTAATATAAAAATAATAGAAAAAATACTTTTCTAACCTAGTATACAATTGCTAGATCACAGACTAATTCGAACGTGTGCACTTTAAATTCAAGAAAGGTGAGAAGACTCGGTGATTGAGAAAACTGGAGCAGTCGAAATGCAATTGAAAAGCAGAATGTACCAAATTTTTTACCAAAAATTCTCCATATCACTGAAGTTCATTATGGTATCATGTACCATTGTCTTTGAAATTTTTATGTACCAAATGAAATAGCGTTCTTTGGCCAACAATACAATAACCGCACGTTTATCTGTGACTAATTCTTTCCTTGAGCCCATGGTTGTAACTGGTAGCTCTGTTAGTGTCAAACTGAAGACAACAGGAGGTCTCAAGTGGTACAGAATTTTACCAGATATAAAGGAAACTCTAGTTCCAGTCAGATAACAAACGTATTAAATTATATCGTGTTATGAAAGAGGAGTGAAGAGGAGATAAAATCATCTAACTCCAAATTCTTCATGCTCGTCGATACGAACGATTTCGCACCATTTTTACTGTAGCAATGTTTTCACATTATTTACTGGTATGCATCTTACATATTATGTAAAATAGTTCTTCTATGATAACAGACCTTTCAATTAGTACCAATTTTCTTAAGAAATAATTGTATCATTAATACGCTTTTTACCCGAATTTGCTAGGTGTCCGGACACTTATGGACGGGAGTGTAAGCGATAATAATAATGTTTAACGCATCTAGCTTCGTAAATAATTAGAAGATGTAATTAGGCTTTATTTTGAATAATACCGAGTTTCTTAAATGATCCTTGGAGAAGGTTTATACGCGTGTAAGTTGAGTCATTTGTAAAATGCAATATCCAAGCTCGCAATAATAATTACCAGTTGCAACATGGCCTTAAAAAAATTACTAACAATTTGGTTAAACTTTAAACGAAATAATTCTTCCGAAACATTTATAGAATACAAATGTTTCTTTCGTTTCTATAAGAAAAATATGAAGAGTGTATACGATAAGTGGTCTCGTTCCAGATTTTTATCTGAACAGCTTGAATCTACTTTAGAAACTCGTGCATCACTTTTGATGTATTGTTCAATGAACGAGATGCAAGCTGATAAGAAATAACTAGGTATGTCATTACTGTAAACAGCTTTGTTTTATTAGGAAATCATGGTTCTTAAATATAACACAGTATAGGCCTACGTTTGAAAAGAAATTACCTTTTTTTTTATCAAGGCTGGTACGCAACAACGAAGCTTAATTAATATCA